TTATAATAGTACAGGTTATATAAAACTTTTTGGTAAATTATTATATCTTACTAATATAGACCATCCATTGCTTATGATGTGCAATAACTTTCTCAATTTTTATCAGTTCCTACTGAGGATCATTTAAATGTAGTAGATAGAGTTCATTGATATCTAAAGGAGACTCCAAGGCAAGAATTGTTCTTTCCTACAAAGAGTGGCATGAAGCTTAAGGCGTTTAGTGACTCATATTGGGCTTCTTGTCCTGATTCACGAAGATCTCTCACTAGTTTTTGTGTTTTTTAGGTCTTGCTCTAATCTCATGGAAGTCTAAGAAGCAACAAACAGTTTCTTGATCATCTAGTGAAGCAGAATATCAAGCAATGGTTGCTATCACGTGTGAAATACAATGGTTGCTATCACGTGTGAAATACAATGGTTGCAGTTTCTTCTCAATTATTTAAATATTTCTTCAATATCTGCAGATCTTTATTGTGACAATCTCTCGGCTATTATCATTGTTGAGAATCCAGTTTAACATGAGCGCGCTAAACACATAGAAAGTGATTGCCATCTAATCAGACAAAAACTGCAACAGGGTGTCATTGTCTTATTACCAGTCTAATCTCAAAATCAATTAGTCGATTGTTTACCAATGCTTTGCCTACACATTCTTTTTAACGGTCCATTGTCAAGTTGGGCATTCAAAATTTGTATGCTCCAACTTGATGGGAGCTAACAGAATGTATGGGTTGGTTAGATAGGTTAACAGATTATAAAGGTTGGTTAGTTAGTTAGGAGAAAGTTAGTTGTAGTTGATGCAAGCTATCTGTATAAATAAGTAAGTCTAAGTGTAAATGATCAGATTTGTGAAATAATAATAAAGCTCTTTTCTCAAGTTCTACAATAGCTTTTTGTCTCGTATATGTGATCATTGTTTCATTTGGCTCAAAAAAAAAGAAAAGAAAGATAAAAGTACTGAACGAAAAAAAGTGTAGAATGCTAAGATCAAGAACATCAAAATGTAGTGGAAAAAACCCAGCAAAAAACAACATTAAAAGAATAAATTTTGACTGAAGTTTCACTTGATGATGTTAATAGTGTGCGAGCCAAAGTTGTCATTGGAGTATCCAAGGAGACTTAGGTGTGCGGATTTCATCAGATGATTATAGAGAAGAAGAAACAACCGGTGGTCAAACCAAAGGACTGTGGAGATGAACCCGATCTTTGAAGAGACATGACTATTTAACGTGGCGGTCAATCCAGTCGAGGTAAGCTGTAAACGGTCTAACTGTGCATTCTGTCACGTCTATTAACGGTGATTAACGTTGAGTGATTAATTTGTAACAAATCGATAACATTAATGACCGATTTGTTACTCTTGAAACTTCAGTGAAGAAAACAAAAATTTACTCAAACATTCGTAGATATTTGTGTAGCTTACCCTTTTTAATACCATCTTTCAGTGGAATTTCTGCATGAGAGGAGCAACTTTTCTAACGGGTCATTTATTTCTACTTGGATCTTCTCTGAAAAGAAAAGAAAAGAAAGTTGGGGCCAGCTTGGTGGATAGTTTTTTCTTTAAAAAAAATAGAACTGTTGTATGTTGAAGAAAATCAAGACATTGCAGCCCAGCTTGAGTAATTGAAGTTTGTTCTGTGAAGCATTGCAAATACCGCAAATTTGAAACTTCCCCAGCATTTAAGTCTACGTTTTTTCTTTTTTGCGTTAACGAATTGTCGCTTTTGCCGATACCCAAACATGCTGTTTAGGTTCAAACACAGTTTTGTCCGGTGCTGCTTAGGTTTATTTCTTTATTATGCTATTATTTTGGCTCTATTTGATCATGTGCAGAGGTGTACCTAGGGTGGGAGTTAAGCTTTCATAAAACTGCAGATCTTGTGAGTCACTTAAAGAAACCTGAGTCCCTGAGCCATATATTTTGTAATGTAAAATATGGACAGCTTAGTTCTTAGCTGGAATCACTACCATTGCTGCAGTGCAGGATAGGCTATTTTGTTATAATTACATAAATCCGGCATCGGTTGAAAAGATGATTCAAAACCGCTAGTATTATTTTGGTTCTGGAGCAGTAACATAAGGTTCAAAGAAGCAAGAAACAATAACTTTATCATCTGAAGCAGAATATGCAGCAACAACAGCAGAGGTGCCGCAAGCTTTGCGACTCAGAAAGCTTTTTAGTATTCCAATCTTGAACAAAAGGAAGCAACTTAGATATTTGTGACAAATCAACCCACAATTGCAATAACAAAGACTCCTTTTTTTCATGGCAGAACTAAGCACATTGACGGGCATCAACATTTTATTCCGAAGCTTGCAGCTGATGAAATTTTGCATCACAAATGAGCATATAACTGGTGTATTTACAAAGTCTATTTCTCAGGCATCATTTTTTCAGATCACAGTTGGGAGTGTGTGATTTTGCATCAAGGGGTAAGTTCTAAAATGCTGGTGCAACATTAAACCTGTTAAAGCTTTAATTTTGGTTTATCATTAGTGATGTTAAGCCGATAAAAAGTTCCAATGAAGAATGTGGCAGTGTTATTATAGTAGGATGTGTAGCTGCATAAGAACATAGAGAATGAGGTAAACAAATGGTAAAGATTTTTCTGATGAGATTTAGGACTATGGTTTGCACCAATCCGAGGTGGTTGGCTATTAGACTGTTCAATCCAAAGAGATAAGGAAAGTCGAGGAAAGGGATTATAATTGTAGAAGTGGAGAGGGCAGGGCCATGCCCTAAAATGTCCTTTTAGAAAGAGTTGGGATGTTCTTTTGCCTTGCTTATTGTAGCTGTCAATCTTTTTCCCTGCCCCCACCTTGCATGCCACCACCGTCCCCATCGTTCCACTTGATCCAATATCTTCTGCAATTATTACATCGAATTCTGAATGAAAATGGTTATCTTCCTTCGGTCGTATTACTCTTGCTTTGAATTGCTCCTCTCTCGTCTTTCAACAGCTGCCATATGTAAATTACATTGGGTTAACTTTCTTTTTGAGGGGGAGTGAAGGTATTGTAAATGGAGTCCAGTTAAAACAAGTTGATGCAAAAGGTGAGAGGGACGTGTTCATCTTGTTCATGAAGCATGCTGCTGAACTCTCAGTAATTAAAAGGATTGCTGGAGGACCACATTTATCTTTTCTTACAAAAAGTTACTGTAAATAAGATCTCATCCAGATTTCCTCTGCCTCTTCTTCCCTTTAAGACACTGAAATTGAAAGCTTTATTAGTGTTGGAGATCATCTGTAATCTTGCCAAAGTTTTAACAAAATGCATAAAGTGGTTAATTTCTCGATTGCATTTGTGTGCACCAAGGCCCAGGATTGCATTTGCAACCCACTTTTAGCTATTTCTTTCTCAGCTTGATCAAAGCTTCCTGATTATACATGAAGAAGGTTGTGCAATTCAAAAGAATGAGACAAAAAGGGTTAATCTCACATTGAAACCTGCAATTTTATCAGCAAAGTCTCTGCAGATGCCATTTTGGATGACCTTGAAGATAAAGCTGGAAACCTTTCTTGCTCTTAGAACTAGCGAGATACTGCAGCTATGACATGTAAGAATCTGGATCACATATCTCACAATTTTGATACTTTTTATTCGACTTCTTATCAATTATCATTTGCATCCACAGAGGTGTTGGGCCAGGCTCAGATTCATGGGCACTTAACATAGCCAGATATAAATAATCCTGTCATCAGCATAATTGATTCACAAGACTCATCCATCAACCTTTCAGGACCAATGCAACTACAACAATAGACAAACACATGTATATTGACATCAAAATATTGTTAGAAAAGAAAGGGGCGAAAAAAATGACGCTTAAATGATGTTTTGAATGCTTGTTGCAACATCACTTTCTTAAACCCTAAATAGATTCAGATCTAACCATTGCTCTAATTCCATGCTCTAATTCCCTTTTTTCTTCTTATTTTCCCCTTTGTGTCATTAGCAAATGAAGTGCCTCTTACTGAAAATCAAAGATAAATCTAGACCTGTTAAACTTTTTTTATATCAATATTCTGATGTAGACCTGTTAAAATGAAAATGAACCAGAAGTATAACTTTTAGCCATGGAAAACAGTTTTCCAGAATCAAGAGACTTGTTGCATACAGGGTATATTCTTATCTAATATATGTGCAAGAAACATTTTTTTCCAAATGAACTGCAAGTCATGTAGCAATTTTAAACTATTCAAGAACACCAATGGGGAATCTTTTTTCTGTGACTGTCTGTCTGGCCCTTTGGGCACTAAAGAAGGATGACCCCAGTTGTCATATTATTGTGAATTGCAAATTACTAGAGTTTGCATGGTGAGATAATAATCCCGACAAAGATCTCACATTATCGTACCCTAATCAAACAGAATTATTAAAACCAACTGTTTGAACCTGTTTCACATTTGTCCGTTCCGCTCTTCTCATGGAAAGACACAAAATTAAAGAAGCTTCCGTGGGGAACCTATCTGCTCTAGAAAACTCATTTCCAAGTCCTTACCCTTTAGCAGGGAGAGTGTATCAAACTCGCCCAACAATCTTGTTTTGGGGTTTTAAACCTCTCCATTTTCTTACGTTTAAAGTATTAAATCAAACCATAAATGACCTGGTCCCTCCGTCAGAGATTTTTCCTTTGGAGCGTGTTGCTTTCACACTGACTTGTCCACTTTTTATATGTGCGACTTTAACTAGGACTCTTTCTCGGGTGCCAACTCTACTTTATCTCTCACTCTCTCTTGCCTTCTTCTGTGAGTGACAATGGAAGCTGGACTTCCAATGCTTAACTGTCTCCTGCAGCACACGCTACGGAGCTTGTGTTCATATTCGGATTCTTCTTCTCCTTCTTCAAAGTGGGTTTATGCTGTATTTTGGAGGATACTGCCTCGTAATTATCCGCCACTTAAGTAAGAAAACTAAAAGGAAAGCTTACTAGTAATTGTCAAAGGCCATTGTTCTAACGTTCACTGGGTCAAATTTTTTCTTGAGGCACGTGCATGTCTGGTTTTTGTTCCATTTTAAGCTCCTGAATGACTCTGTGTTATAGGATGCTTGTCTGGGAAGATGGGTTTTGTGATTTCCATGAATGTGAACGTGCTGGAAGTGGCTATGTAAAGGGAAGGTTTGGAGCTGATATATTCTTCAAATTGTCGCATGAAGTTTATAATTATGGAGAAGGGTGAGAATTCCTTTAACTATAGTTAAATTCCTTACAGAAAATTGAAAGGCTGCACGGTGAAGTTAATGGCACCTTGATTACAGGTTAGTAGGGAAAATTGCAGCAGATAACAGTCACAAATGGGTGTATAAAGAAACCCCAAATGATAATGATCCTAAATTCATCTCCTCCTGGAATTTGTCTATTGAGCCTGTAAGATAACATGTCTAGTTGTTTATTTCATCCTCAACGGGATTCACGTAAGTGAATGAACATTTCTCTAGTTTTTTTTTTTAATTCCTTTAAGCAGCAACCTAGGGCGTGGGAATCTCAGTTCAATTCAGGCATTCAGGTTGGTAATACACCAAGTAAACTATGTGAAAAGAGAATTTTAACTGTAAGGGCCGCCTGCAATAGCCCCATTCAAAAGCTCATTAAAGTTTCTGTTGATATACAGACAATTGCCATAATTTCTGTCAGAGAAGGGATTATTCAACTAGGTTCATTGGACAAGGTCTCTCTCTTTTTCCTTCTTTTGTTTTTCTGTTGAATATATATACATTTTGGCTTTAAGTGTGTCAATGAATGATGGGATTTTTCAGATGGTGGAAGATCTTAATCTGGTGATCAGCATACAGAGGAAATTCAGCTATCTCCAGAGCATACCTGGCGTCTTTGCCATTCAAAGACCATACTTAGCAATTCAACATCCATACGCCCTCAAACCGAATAACCTGTTGTCGGAAAACCACGAAACATCAATCTGTCATGATGACAAACGCCGGTTAGGTGGAATGAAAAGATTTGTCGATGAAAGGCCAGAGGATTCTCCGATCAAATCAATCAACTTAGGTTCGAACAGCCCTCAAAATGGAATTATAGGACCACCCTTTTGGTCAATTCCACCCCTTGTTCCTACCGTGTCTTGCAGTCTTGGAGCTTTGTTATCCAAGTTGCCTTCTGTCATCCCATCTTATAATGCCATTGAACCTCCTGAAATAACTCTCATCAACCACCCCAACACTACAAACCAGAGAGGGAAGGATGATAATGGAGGCTCAGTAGGTGAAATTCTCATAGCCGAGTCAAAAACAGAACCTTTAAGTCAATTGGAAGCTGCTGATCAGGAGAAGCCAAGACCTGTAAAAGCTAATTTAGTGCTACAAGAAGATGCTGTAATACAACTGGGATTTGGGCCTCTCAAAGACTGACAAGAACATAGTTTGAACTCTGAAGCTTGACTAATTAGGATAATAAAAATATTTTATTATCGAAATGATACGATTTTTCTCCTTTTTGTTCATGTAGTTGTTTCTGCATCACTTTCCTATGGTCGTGTCTATAAAATATTAGAGTTATTTAATAAAACGTAATAAGCTGGTTGATTATACTGATTAAGAAAAAGTGAGAGAAATGGAAAGCAAGGAGGTGACTGGTGATATGAAAGAACTTAAACAGAACAAAATAGTGCTTTTAGTTTTTAAAATACGAGCTTAGGACTTAATATAATTGCCAAACTATAGCATTTGATTGTAGTGTTTTTTTTTTTTGTGCTTTCATAATCAAGACAGATATTATATGGGTTATGCCAATTGCCGAAGGCAACTGCTGTCGATAAGGGCAAGGGTGGGGTTCAGCCACAATGGTCTAATCATTGTCCCTTCCTGCAATGGTCCCATATAAATATCAAATTGAAGATGAAGAATGACGGTGCTTAATTGAGTTGTTTATGACATTTGGTGTCTGGCCCCCTCCTCCCACCAGACACAGTGGATGGTCCCCAACCCCTTAGCTTTTTTCAATATTTTGGGTCATTACTTAAGAAAATGAGTTGTGATTTATGTTGTCACGCATGCCATTTGGGCAAAGGGTTCATTTTTGTTAGCAGGCAAGATAGTAACATTAGTCTAAAACACCATTATTTTGAGTCGAGAAAAACTTTCAGAGATTGCCTCCACTACTTGCATACTACGTTTTTTTAGTTTTTGACGGCAACCCTCCTAAAGCTCCACCTCTATATGTGTGATAAAATGGAAAGCTTTCTTCTCCTTGAAATACATGTTCTCCTCCTTTTGAGTAAAGGGCTGTAGTTGAGATGCTTGGCAATCATATAGAATGGAGACAAGTTGACTGTGAGAACTGTACTTATATTTTATTAATTCACTGTACTCGAGGCTTCTGTTATGTTGGTTGACATTTGAATGTTATGCTCATGTTCAGACCTTTTCTTAGTTTGCAGAAAATATGAACAATCAGCTACAATACTTGCTTCTTGAAGTTTGCAGTGTTAAGTATGGAAAAATGTAAGAGTGAAGATCAGAATATTTCAGAGGTGTTACTTGTAAACAACAGTTGTGGCTTCTAAGAAGTTAGATGTTCTCTGGCCTGTCAGCTATCAGTTATGTAGTTTTCTTTTTGCTGTTCTGCGGGGTACTAAAGCCCTGGAAAATCTGGAGCAACTGTATTATGAAGTTACCTTTTATCGCAGATCGATTTCTGTAATCGATGGTGGCCCCAAGATAAAAATGAATAAGGCTAATGAGAGCAAATAAAATAACGCATTTGCCTCCCCAGCAACTAAAACTAAGGCCATGGTGTTAAAAGTTTCAAAGTTTGGCAACCAACTTTGGAAAATGTTTTTTTCAAAGTTTGGTAAATGTTTCTTTGAAAAATGTTTTTCAAAGTTTGGTAAAATTTTGGTAGATGTTTGTTGAAAATAGGAATGGGTAAATTCACTTTAGTCATTGCACTTTAGGGTATTTTCAAAGATTAGTCCCTAAGTTTCTACTATAAATACCCTTACCCATTTAGCTTCAAAATCATCCCAAAACATTTCTTTCTTCCTATACTAGAGAGCTTTCTTGTGAGTAGTGAGTGTTTTGTAAACACCTGTAAATTTTCTCTCTTAGTAAAAGATCTGCAGCAGCCCGGAGACGTAAGCACAATTGGCTGAACTCCGTTATCAATTTTCGGGTATTATTTTTCCGCTTTTATTTCGCATTCTCACTAATCTGGTTATAGGGAAATTACTTGTATTAGGTTTATTTTCCTAACAACTGGTAATCAGAGCTTTTGGTTGTGAATTTTGTCAAATTTTCTGCGAGGTTACTATTCATTACTATTCACGTGAATAGTGAATTTCGTGAATAGTGAAATTCGGTCGGCGATACGAGTTTGTCGACGGTGGTGTTCTAATACACGGTGATTCGCAAGAATTGTCAGAAACGATCCAAACGAAGCCAGATTCGAGTGGGAGCGATGGCTGCAGACGAAGGGAAGGTGAAAATTGAAAAGTTCGATGGTGCGGACTTTGGCTTTTGGAAGATGCAGATTGAAGATTTTTTGTACCAGAAAAATCTATCAACCTCTCTCAGGAAAGCAACCAGAGGGCATGAAGGATGAAGATTGGGCTCTTCTCGACAGACAAGCCCTCGGAGTTATCCGACTGACGTTATCCCGCAATGTTGCTTTTAACATAGCAAAAGAAAAGACCACGGCGGGTCTTATGGCGGCTCTCTCCAGTATGTACGAGAAGCCATCGGCCTCAAACAAAGTTCATTTGATGAGGCGATTATTCAATTTGCGGATGGCGGAAGGGGCATCGGTGGCACAACACCTAAATGAACTCAACACAATCACAACCCAGTTGAGTTCAGTGGAAATTGAGTTCGATGATGAAGTTCGAGCTTTAATTCTCTTATCATCTCTACCAGACAGTTGGAATGCTACTGTTACAGCAGTCAGCAGTTCGTCGGGAAACAGCAAATTAAAATTCGACGATGTTCGAGATCTGGTATTGAGTGAAGAAATTCGACGAAGAGAATCGGGTGAAGCATCAACCTCCTCAGCCTTACACACGGAGTCTAGAGGGAGAACTTCAGAAAGAAATTCAATCGTGGCAGATCAAAATCTAGAAGGGGCAAATCAAGAACAGGAAATAAAGATTTTACCTGTTATAATTGCGGCAAAAAGGGTCACTTCAAAAGAGATTGCCGAGCACCGAAGAAAAATACCGGCGCACAGGAATCTGCCAACATGACGAAGGAGACAGGTGATGCCATGATTTTAAGCGTCAACAGTCCGATTGAATCATGGATCTTGGATTCAGGGGCATCTTTCCACTCCACCCCATGTCGAGAAATCATGGAGAACTATGTCAGTGGTGATTTTGGGAAGGTTCATCTTGCTGATGATGAAACCTTAAAGATCGTCGGAAAAGGAGACATCCGACTAAAGTTGCCAAACCAGACCACCTGGAAGCTGACAGGAGTGAGACATATTCCTGGCCTCAAAAGAAATCTGATTTCTGTTGGACAGCTTGATGGAGAAGGATATAGCACAACCTTTTCAGGCTGTGAATGGAAGATTACCAAAGGAGCACTCGTCATTGCTCGTGGTAAGAAGACTGGTACTCTCTATGTAACCTCAAATTTAGAGAATATCATTGCAGTAGCAGATGCTGATGGAAAATCAAACCTATGGCACCAAAGGCTTGGCCATATGAGCGAGAAAGGGATGAAGACACTTTTGTCAAAAGGGAAGCTGCCGGATCTAAAAAATGTAGATGTCGGACTATGCGAGGATTGCATCTTTGGCAAACAAAAGAAAGTCAGTTTTGCAAAGATTGGCAAGACACCCAAGACAGAAAGGTTAGAATTGATTCATACTGATGTATGGGGACCATCCCCAGTTCCATCTCTTGCAGGCTCACTATATTATGTCACCTTCATCGATGATTCAACAAGGAAGGTGTGGGTTTATTTTCTGAAGAAGAAATCAGAAGTCTTTGATACCTTCAGAAAATGGAAGGCCATGGTGGAAAATGAGACTGGTTTGAAAGTCAAGCGGTTGAGGTCTGACAATGGAGGAGAGTACAGAGACAGTAGATTCAGAGATTTCTGTGCAAACAATGGGATCAAGATGGAGACAACAGTTCCCAAGACACCGCAACATAATGGTGTAGCAGAGCGCATGAACAGAACTCTGAATGAACGTGCCAGAAGTATGAGGATACATGCCGGCTTGCCCAAATTTCTATGGGCTGAAGCAATCAACACTGCAGCTTACTTGATCAACCGTGGGCCCTCAGTTCCTTTGGATGGCAGAATACCAGAGGAAGTTTGGAGCAAGAAAGAAATAAACCTTTCACACTTAAGAGTGTTTGGTTGTATTTTTTATGTACACATAGACTCTGCTGAAAGAAGTAAGCTTGATGCTAAGTCCAACAAATGTGCCTTTGTTGGTTATGGCGGTGATGAGTTCGGTTACCGGTTTTGGGACTATGAAAATCGGAAGATCATCAGAAGCAGAGACGTCATTTTCAATGAAAATTTGATGTACAAAGATAGATCAACCGCAGAATCAAGTAATACCGAAGCTGAAACAAAGGAATTTGCTGAGTTCGAGGAGATTTCTGGAAATGATGTTCAGATCAATCCTGAAGCAGTTCAAGAAGAACCAGGCACACCAGAACTGAGACGCTCCTCCAGAATTCCTAAACCAACCCAACGGTATTCTCCTTCTTTACACTACTTGTTGCTGACTGACAATGGTGAACCAGAGTGCTATGATGAAGCAATGCAAGTGGAGGATTCAGTCAAGTGGGAGTCTTCCATGAAAGATGAGATGGACTCGCTTATGTCAAATCAGACATGGGAATTAGCTGAATTACCACCAGGCAAGAAAGCGCTCCACAACAAGTGGATTTACAGGATCAAAGAAGAGCACGATGGGAGCAAACGCTACAAAGCAAGATTAGTTGTCAAAGGCTTTCAGCAAAAAGAAGCTGCAGAGAATTTACATCTTGAGCAGTTAGATGTAAAGACAGCTTTCCTTCATGGTGATTTGGAGGAAGAAATCTATATGAGGCAGCCAGAAGGCTTCATAGAGGCAGACAAGAAAAACTTGGTATGCAGGTTGAAGAAGAGCTTGTATGGTTTAAAACAAGCTCCTAGACAGTGGTACAAGAAGTTCGATAGCTTCATGAGTAGCAGTGGTTTTATCAGATGCCAAGCAGATCATTGTTGCTACATCAAGAGGTTCGACAACAGCTTCATTATTTTATTATTGTACGTTGATGACATGCTCGTTGCAGGCTCAGACATGCAAGAGATTATACACTTGAAGCAAAAATTGTCGAAGCAGTTTGCTATGAAGGATCTGGGCGCTGCAAAGCAGATTCTTGGGATGAGGATCAAGAGAGACACAAAGTCGGGGACTTTGATGTTATCACAGGCTGAGTACATCAACAAAGTACTCTCCAGGTTCAAC